GTGCCAGACAGGAGAAACCTCTCTTTGGATTGTTGGCCAGGGTACTTCGATTCCCAAAATTACCAGACTGTTGCCACAGTCCTTGATTGCTTCCTAGAATAGAAGGTAAGACCCTATTGCTGAAGACAGGACATATTTTGGACACAGGATTTAGAACTAGAGCTGACCTGGAAAGCCACCACCCTTAAAAGTTAGCTCTCATACTTTTGGAGAACATTATGCAAGTTGCCAAGAGAGAACAATAAGCGATGTTCCAACCCCAGCTTTAAGGCCTAACCACAACAATGACTGGCACAGCAAAGTGTATTGTGTAGTAGTGGCGTTTTTATCTTGGGGGTAATCAGTAGCTTCCTAATTGGACTTAAAGCCCACTCAATGAGAGGAAACTCATGTATGGTACTGTAAACATAGCCAACTACACATGGCTGGAGAGGTCATAAATCTTAAAGAAAATCCCAAGACTGTCAGATCCCTAGAAAAATGTAATTTCTTACTATGTGCAAAATATGGATACTTATATTTGCAGACAAGTGTCCCAGTCACTATTCATCAAAGTTTCTCTTGAAACAGATGGAGACTATTACAGAGTACCACAATTGGTCACACATAGATTGTCTGTGAATTGCCTAAGCCTAAGTGACACAACTACAATGCAGGTTCTACACCTAAGGCTCATGGAACATGGTGGAACAAGGAGAGAGAACATGGAACATAGAGAGAATACTAATGCATCCCTCAATTCTCATCAATGAAGCCCTCTCATGCAACATAAAAGGACACAAATGGCCAAAGCATAGAGAATAAGTCTTCAGAGTGTGGTCCTTAGACAGGACTCCTATATTAAACTCCACCCACATAGGGCTCAGGGACCATTGCAGAAGAGGGGGCAGAAAAATGGTAAGAGCCAGGGAAAAAGTGCATGATCATATGGAAATAGGGTCCTATGGGCTCCTGAGACCTTGGTCATATGAGCCTACAGCAATGGTGTTAGCATGCACAAGACCCATGCAAACTCAAGAAGATAGAAACCCCACACAGAGCTGTGGAAATGGGCAGTAGGTCCCAATCTTAGCTGAAGAACTATTAGCAGCTGATTACTACTGATCTTCTTAAAGGGAGAGACTCTAGATAGGCTGACTAGACCTCAGTGGATGAACTTGCACTGAGGGATGTCTGGGGACACCAACTTTACATGATAGGCCTTAACACAAATGGCAGAATGTATATATTCCAGTGGAGGATATGGAAGGGTGCCGATGGGGAAGCGGTATAAAAAATGATTAAGATGTTCTGTAGGAAATAGACAATAATTCAATAAAAAATTTACAAAAAAGTCTTGGAGATTTTATTACTGCATGGATCCAGGTTTCTGACAGCATAGATAGCACTTAGAGGTGCTGGCTGGGGATGTCACCAGCTGCTGAGGGAATCACTTTTGTGAAGCAGCTTCACAGTTTGACTCTACAAGGGTAAGGAATAACTGCTCAGTGCATTTCCTGCATTCTTCTTTTTGCCCATTGCATATTGGTCAAAAAATTTCACATTTTTATCAAAGTGGCAAGAAATAAAATTCAATTGAATTCTGTTGACCAAAGGAATTGTGATATAAGTACAAAGTGATTTTTGTACTGTTTTCTATTTTGCAAAAAGTATATCTCAATTCTTACATAATTATACATACAAAGAAATATCACTTCCGTTTCATAGCTACTGCAAAGCTAGTCAGAGAAAAGACATTGCCAGCATGCCACTATTTTTGACCATGAGCTATATCCTCAAACTATCATAACTTGATAATTGGGACATAGTAGCATTGTCTTTTGGTAATTCTGAATTTTAAAGACAACATGAGGGTAAAATCAAGATGGATGTTGCTCTTTTCAATCTGCTATCAATTCACTAACAACTGCAAAGTTCATTAATGTAAAAAAGTAATTTTCTTAAAATTTTTCATGAGTGTTTTCAAAGCATGGTATTTATTTTCTGATGTTGTACTGACCACAGCTGGGGCTAAAGAAAAGGATCTTCCTTGGGTTGTCTGCAGTCTGCACTCTGACTTCCTCCTTTTGGCCCAGTTTAGCCCAGACATTTCAACAGCTCGACTAAGCCTCATCACCATTTAGCTGCCAAGCTCAGTGGCTGCCAAACTCACTAGTAGCTTTTTAAGTACACCTGTTGCCTGTGCTATGTTTCAATCAAGAAGGCTAGACTTTGCTGGTCTACCCCAGGGCAAGGAGCTCTCTCAAAGAAGAATACTTTTTTAATATTACTTCATCATTCTTCTTTAGAGAAACTTTTCAAAAATAAGCTTCCTTTCTTACAGATAAATTTCATTCATATAAACCTGGTGTGTAACATCTATTTTGGATTAGTTTATAGAAAAAAATAGTTTTGAGAATGAAAACTACTAATAATTTTATACTTGTATAGAGCTAGCTGAGAGGTATATGAACAACAAAACTTGAGGACTTGGTTATGAACTGAGAGATTTTAACTGTAGTAATCAAATAGCATTTGTAACAAAGTTAATCTGATAGTTAATGGTATGCACTGCATGGTCATTAGGTATAAATACAGGGTAGTTCATAGAAAGGACCATAATTAATGTGCGTCATAGAGCTAAAGCAACATTTTTGGAGCAAGCTCAATGGAGAGATGAATGGAAAGGCAGTTGGATGCAGCTTCTGTTTTAAGGGTTCTGGACCAGCTGAGCCTCCTTGGGTTGGCTTCACTGTTTTCCCATTAGCATTTGCTCCAGGCCAGGAGGCTGGTGGCTGGGAATAACCTTCCCTACCCACAACAAAGATGATATAAAGTTACAAAGAGAAAGTACGGTAGATTCAGTTCTTATAGATTTCCCAGTCTCTCAAACACCGTATGCTATTTTTCTGGAGCTTTGAAGTCCTTTACCTACGAAGAAAAAGGACATACAGATAATTTTTTACTTTGGTCATCATATAGCACTGATAGGCTTCTTCTAGTCAAAGTCTTTATAGCCACTAGGGTTTTATGAACTATTTTTTGTTCCATTTGAGCACCACTCAGTGTTCATAAAGCATATATGAGTTTTGTTTGTATCAGTGGAATATTTGTCTGTAGAAAAAGTGGTTGTTTACTTGAAGTGGGATGTTTTTTGGGCTACCCACCAACCTACATTTTCTAAGACTTAATACAAAAAGTAATAACAAGCTCTGACTCATGTGCCTGGTCTCCAGTTAATTTTATTTTGAAGATATCTGTTTTTCTGCAAGTTGTGCCTGTGCATCACTCAGGTGACATTGTTCCCATGACTGGTGTGACCTGACCAAATGATATGGCTCAAATGCCAACTTACTGACTTCATCCTAACTTCCTGTCATATTTCACAATTAATATGCCAACAAATCTTGTTGGCTCTAGCTTAGAAATACATCTGAATTCTGACTGTTCTTAGTACTTATTGCTAGCACTCTGGTCTCTACCTCATCTGCATATTTCACCAGGACCATTACTATCATCTTTCAACTTCTAGTTGCTCCTATCCTGCAATCTATTCTCCACAGTGTAGTTACTTTCTCTCAGGTTACTCCTGTAATGGCTCTCCATTCCACACAGAATAAAATGTAAAAGTCTGGAAGTTCTACATCTGTCCCTTTCTTATACCTCACTGCCTCTCTATTCCATCAGTTTCTCTCCCCTTGCTTACTGGATTCTAGTGGCATTGGCTTTCTGGCTGTTTCTCCGACATGACAGACCATTTCCACTCAGGGTAACTTTGCACTTCCTGTGTAAAGAAGAACTTTGCACTTCTACCCCCTGACAGCCACATGAACCATTTCTCACATCTTCAGGTCTCTAATCAAATGTCTAGTGGCCTTCCCAGAGCAACATTTAAAGTTAGCCCTCTCATTCCCCAGTTTTGTTTTCTAGGACTCACGGTTTGAGACAACAGATATTTATTGGGTCATTTGGACTTTCCCACTGAAATATAAGTTCTAAGAAAGTAGGACTCCTGCGTCTTGGTGTTCCACTCCATCCTCATTTTAGAACGCTGCATAGCACATTCGTGAATGTCTCAGCCACTTGCGCCAATGTCTCCTTTTGAAATTTTGATTTCCATTATAAAATTAAAGTTTGAAATCTTAATTCCATAGTTTAATCCTCTAAATATTTGAGCTATAAACTCATCTTTTGGTTTTAATTCCTTTGGCGAGGAAATGAAACCAGGGAAATACCTAGTGATTATAAAAGCAACTGCTATTAGATGAGCACTTTTTTTCACTGGTCTCTGTGCTTAGACTCATTTAATTCCACCTGCGGTTCTAGAGATCGGAATTAAAGAGTGCTCTTTTACAGAGTTCTTGAGAACTTTGGGGAATTAAATAACTTGCTATTGAACTGAGAGTAGAGTTCAGGCATGACAGACTCTACACTGCCTCCTAGCTGTCTTCTCCAGTAGTTCATATATGGTGAAAGGGATTCCAATGCGTTGCTTTTGCAAAAGAAGTTTCACATATTAGGTTTTTGGGGATGACACATGTTGTAAATAAGTGACGTATGAAGTATATTTACAAACACACATCCCCCCTATATTAAATTATATATATGCATATATATGTCATTTTATAAGTATACATGTATCTCAAGAATCTGTGTACCCTACCAGGTAGTTCAACTTTAGGAAGCATCCTTTAGAAGGCCTTCCTTATGCTGGGATACTAAAATTCAAGATTTGCTTTGCCAGACTTCGGAAAAAAACTCTGTTTTCCTGCACTAATACGGTTTAGGGGCAGTTTAAAGCACTTCGCAAAAGAGGATGGGAACAAAAAGAGGGGACCCATGTGCATGGGGACGCTTCAGCTCGGCTCCCGGGGCACAAACGCAGACACGACGGAGCACAGCCAGCGCACGGGGCGGCGGGCGCGGTGGGGGCGGGCACGAGGGCTCCGGGAGCGGCCTGCGCCGGAATGGGGCGGGGGGAGGGGCCTGCGGCGGCCCGCCCTCTCCTGGGGATGCCGGGATGTTTACCCTCCTGACAGCCGCGGCCGCGGGAGGAGGAGCAGGAGTCGGGAGGATGGGCCGCCGTTAGGCTCGCAGTCGGGAGCACGGTCGAACGGGGTGGGAGCCCGCGCCTGCAGCGTCGCGGGCGGGCGGGAACGACGCGATCGGCTCGGGTGGCGTAGCGCAGCCCCCGAGCCTGTCCGCGCCGGCACCTGGCCGAGCAGCTCCGGTGGGCGCGACGACCCGTACGCTCCGGCTTCCTGGTGAGTCGCCGCGGGGCTCGGGGGTGGGATGGGAGGCCCGCGGGGTGCGTCCGGCGAGGGGAGCAGGAGGCCGCGCGGGGCCTCGGGCTCGTGTGCCCGCGGAGGCCGGCCCGGTCCGCAGTGCAGCCGGCAGTCGGGAGGCCGGAGCTCCGCGGCCCGGGGCGGGGGCGCCGCGGTAACCAAGAAACTCCGCGGCCTCGATGGAGGCAACAGGTCTTTGGTTTCGGGACCGGGCAACTCCAGAGAAGACCCGCCCCCGGCTGGAGCTCATTGGCCACCTCGGTTATTTATCGCTCGCGGATTGGTTCAATACGTCTCTCAGGATTCGGCCGCTGCCGAATTTAGAAAAGTGAAGTTCATGGAGAGGGAGAAGCATGGATGGTGGGAGAGGGAAGCGAGAAGCCGAGGTGGCGGGAGACGCGCAGGGACCCGGATCAGAGAGGACCTGAGACTGACCCAGGCTTAGGAAACCGAAGGGCGCGGCTGGAAGGCTGCAGCGAGCGTTGGTTGTGATGGAAGCAATGGAAAGAAACACATAGAAAGTGGAGGGCAAAGTCACTGACGAAAGGAGCTCCGAGAAAAAGTTAGAAAAGTGAGTCGTGGCTGGACGTGAGCTCTACCCAGAGGATGCTGTGGATCCCAGTGCCGGGCCTCCTCTCCGCTGCACTCTAGGCCTTGGAGACCTATCATGACATAAATTTGTGGACTCATACTGTATTCATAAACTGAAGCCGCTGCTCGGGATAAATACTTAGAATATATATTTACTTTCCAGTAAGGTTTCTGCCCTTTACAGTCCTGGTGACCGAACTGGATGTAGGAAGTACATTAAGTGACTCTCTTTCTTTGAGACTCCTAATCCTAAAGGGTGTAATTAAAACCAATCAGATGCCCATAGTTTTTGAGTATTGTTAGAACTACTCTATAATTTCTTCCCCAAGGAGCCTGCAGTTTCCAGGACTAGGCGCGTTACCCACAGCCTTCACGGTGTGCTCTGATGGATTGCCTTACAGATTGTCGTTCAGGGTATGTGTATTAAAAATCTGTTCTGTTGAGGACCACGAGCTGCTGATTTTGTGGTCAAAGAGTGGCTTATTACTTGTATTCAAAATTTTATAGGCTATTTGGGACTAGACAAACCCTGAAAACGGCTAATTCAGCCTGCATTACTTTGTGGCATTTCTTGCTGGATGGCTGCTAGTATTTTTGGCTGAAACATTTGGTGAGGAACAGTGTGCATTTGAGTCGGCTAACACACAGCTGGACAGTTATTTCATTTTCACAGTCCTCTACTACACTGGGAAAGCCGGTCCTTACTTTGCTTTACCCTCCAAACCGCAGCATCCTCTGGTTTGGCCTTTGCCCGGGAGATGTTGAACTTCTGCAAAAAAACTTTGCCTCTTGGAGCCAGAGGGACAGAAAACTGGATGGGGGCTAAACAGAGGAAGGGACTGTGCCTAGGCTGGGGTGAAGGAGATCCGGAGACCCTGAGCTGCTCTGGAGGGACCCGCCCTGCAGAGCACTGACTGCAACCACAGCCAATGAGCGGCCGCCGCTCGGGAGGGCGGGTACTTCCTACTGGTGCCCTGGACCTGGGGTAGGGACCCGAGTTCCTCTTCTGAGGATGTGGGCCTGAGTTTGGCAGTCCTGAGAAATCAATGCATAAAAATAGGGCGAAAAGGGGGGGGGGGGGGGGGGGGGGGGGGACTCTGGTTTCCTCTGTGCCCTGTTTCTAGATTCAGCCGCAACTTGAACTCACCACTTCCACTGTAACTTTATAGTAGATAAGAAATGAAACTCTGGTCAGCAAATTAAATATAGTTGGTGACTGGGGCTTTACCATATTCAAATGAAAACAGAGAACTGTTTAGGTATTTTTACGGCCATTTAAAATCTTTCCACGGTTAAGACAGTCATGGACATAAAAAGTAGTCCAAGACTGCCTTTCATTTTCAGATAAACAGATCTGTTTTAAAAACTGAACTACCATCCAGATTTCTTTTTCTAGATAGTATCTGTCTCACCATCCATTCCTTCCCCCTTTAGCACTCTCGTGCTGGACTCTGATTTGTCTCCAGCCCAGTGCTTACTCTGAGAATGGGAAAGCACTCTGGAACCATGGCTGCATACTAGTGGAGGAGGGGAGTCTGGAGGCCAAAGAGCCCAGGGACTGAGAGTCAGCATCACAGTTTCAAATCAGAGAAAATGCAGTTCCACAAAGGCCCCCTCTCCTGCCCAGGTCCTCCAATGACTGACTTAGCATTTGAGCTCTGGCATACTGCAAACATTAAGTAATAATAAGCATTGACTGAAAAATGAATAAAATTCCTGTGATGTTATAAAAATATGCACAGCAGTGGCACAGGGGACTGCTCCAGTCATTCCCAATTTCATCCAAAGAATTCTTTTCAAGTATCAGAGCGTCATGTGGGCAGGTATTTTACCTCATAGTTTAAACTGCATTGTAGCAAACTTGAGTTCTTGGAGATGACTTGGACACGGCATGAGTAATTACTACTCGACTTGTTTTTTGGTAATTCAGTTTGACTATCCGTATGGTGTTATATATTTTTCAAAATATTTTTTCTTCTAAAGAGAATAGTTTATAATTCATGGGTTTTATGAGGACAGATGGCCATGAGCATTCTTTTTTGTGTGTGCTTTCAACCCTTATTAAAATAATAGCTTTGACATACTATGTATGAGCTTATAGGATGAGCTGTGTTGTAAATGATAGCTGTCCACAATATTAAGCTGAAGAGTGTGTCAACAAAACTTAATTAACTGGCATACAAAAATTTAGAAGTGTGTGTTTTCTATTACTTAGTGGAGATAGGCCCTTTTCTAAATTGCCAGTGCTTTTCTGTGGACAGTAGTTTAGGAGTACCTTTTAAATTCCAGACTGCTTTTGTATAGAACTGGGATTTACAAACTCCAAATGGCCACCTAGTAAATGTTTTTTGGCATTGTGAGCTGTGTAGTGTGTTGGAGCTCCAGGCTCCCCTCCACAGAAAACACCTGCATGAGTGGATGTGGTCACACCAATAAAACTTTATTTGTATAAATAAGCTGTTTTCCCATTCCTGCTCTAGAAACTTACATCAAAGACTGAAGTATGAATTCTAGACCATTGATCTTCAAGTTAATGTAGATTTCCCTGTAGCGGTACTCTATAAACATTTTTGTTCTGCATGCATATTATTTTTTCCTGTGTTTATCATTATGCGAATAAGCCTAGGTGTAGTACCCTGGGTTTGTTTCCCTTTACGATCCTAGTTGAGCAACTTTAGTTTGTTCAGACTCTAGTTTTTTCCAGCTCACATAAGGTTGCTTTGAATAGTAAATGAAAAGTGCAGAGTGGTAGGTCCAGTAAGTGGTGGTTTCATTTAAGTTATTTTTCTGTCCAGAGAACCTTTGGGAAGTTCTCCACAGGTTCTTCCGATGACAGGTGCTGTCATCTATGGTGCTCTAAAGGGTGCCTCACTGTTCCTCAGTTTCTGCTTTCTGTGCTTTAATTCTCTCCTCTCCTCTCCTCTCCTCTCCTCTCCTCTCC